CAATGGTCTCTTGCCGTTTAGGCAGTTCCAGACTTTTCCCCGGACTCCTTCCCGGCTAGCTGTGGCACACTAGCCCCCACCAGGCTGTGTTCATGCAGCCAACCCCAGTCCTCTCCCTGGGATCTGACCTCTAAAGACTGAGCCTCAGCTCCCAGCCCCGAGCAGGTGAGCAGACAAGCCTCTCGGGCTGGTGAGTGCTGGTCGGCACCGATCCTCTGTGCGGGACTCTCTCCGCTTTGCCCTCCGCGCCCCCGTTGCTGGGCTCTCCTCCGTGGCTCCGAAGCTCCCCCCCCGCCACCCACCATCTCCGCCAGTGAAGGGGCTTCTAGTGTGTCGAAACTTTTCCTCCTTCACAGCTCCCTCCCAGAGGTGCAGGTCCCATCCCTATTCTTTTGTCTCTGTTTTTCCTTTTTTGTTTTGCCCTACCCAGGTACGTGGGGAGTTTCTTGCCTTTTGGGAGGTCTGAGGTCTTCTGCCAGCGTTCAGTAGGTGTTCTCTAGGAGTTGTTCCACATGTAGAGGTATTTTTGATGTATTTGTGGGGAGGAAGGTGATCTCCATGTCTTACTCCTCTGCCATTTTGAAAGTCCCCCCAAAGACTGTAGACTTCTGATTGATGGACCGCTTGATGTTTGAGCAGCTAACCTCCCAGAAGTTCTCAGTCTCATTTAGGTCTATTACAAATTTGCTTAAACCTTTTGTCTATAATGCTAATTTCTTCCCAGAAGGATGTTGCAAATTATGTAGCTCAAAAAGTTCTCTCCCAAACCATGTTTAAAAATAATTCTTCCTTTGGCATAGAGAAAGGTCAGTGTTTGGATCTGGGTGTGAATTTCAGCCAAGGGACTTCCTCAGGTAACTTAACCTCCAAGAGTTTCAATTTGATTCTCTACTGAAGGAGACTAATAATCTTTATCTCACCTGGGTTGTTGTGGAAATAATAGGAGTCAATTAAAGACATCTAGCACAAAGTCTGGGATCTTGAAAGTGCTCAGTAAATACTAGTTCTCTTCTTCCTCTTTGGGCCTATGATGCAACTCATTTTCATTTTTTGTATGCTCTAAGAATAGACAGGCATCGTGCTCTCAAAAAATAATTTCGAATTGAATTATTTACTCTAGAAGCAGCTTTACCATCTTAAATACAAAAGAAGAAAAAGGACAATATAAGCTGTTTGCTGTGTCACCAGCAAAAAGATGGAAAGTGTTATGACAATTATGACTGAATTTTTATAAAAGTGAAACAATCAAAATATAAATAATTGACAATAGCCCATATTTCATGCAGAAAAATATACAGTATCTTTATACAATGTAAGCCAAGAACTTTGTCTACAAAGTTCCCTATGTATAACAACAAACAGAATGTTGAAAAAAATGGGTTACCATAATTTATTATACTCTTAAAATGAATTAAGCTTAGTTAGACCACTTACAAATTATACCTCAGTTAATTTGTACAACACTGCCATAAAGACAATTTTTCTATCCTTGTTTTTAAGTTGTGAAAACAAAGGCTTATCATTGTTTAGTCATTTGTCCAAGGTCACACAATTAGAAAAGAATATAGGCAACTCTCAAACCCAGAACATTTGTACCCCATGCAATGCTCTTTCTCCAGCACCACATTGCCATTCCTAGATGGTCTTTAGAGGGTCATTATAACTTGATCAAGAAGATAAATTGTATTTATTATAAAAGTAAGTTAGTAATTTCTTATATTGTTGTTGTCACCATTCATCTATGGTGCTAAGTACAGTTCTGAGTATCCAGTTCTAGGAGGATGCTTATAAAGTGAGCAAATATGTAAGAGTTTTTAAGGCTCTGTATGGCCAATCAGAATGGATATAGACTTTAGTTCTGGAGCAGTTTCCTGGAGGCCAGTGCTGTTCCAGGGGTTAACTCTATGTATACTTCATCCTGGTAAAGGTTTCCTAGGGAAGAAGGGCCAGCCTGTGAGGAGTATGACACCTTTAGAGCGTTCAGTTATGAATCAGTTTTTTCTTTTTTCTGTCATAAATGAACAGCCTATATGGCTATATCTCTGAGTATCAGAGGTATATCAGTCCTAAGTATACTTCTTAAGAAAAATACTTTGGATGGGATTACCTAAATTGCAATAGTGACTATTTATGAATGGTGGAATTGTAGGTGACTTCTGTTCTTTACAGTTTAATTCACTCATTCAGCGTGCATTTATTGAAAGCCTAGTAAATGGCAGGCCCTCCTAGACTCCTGTATTTCAGAAGTGAATAATACAGGAGTTGTTCCAGTTATTTTTGTTGGTGTTACATTTATAATCAGAAAATGTTCAACAGAGTTAAGTAAAGAAAGTATATCAAATAGTTGAATGGTAAGATGAGGAAAAGTCCTGAGAAAAATCGATCCAGAACTTTAAAAAGATTACATTGTATTTATAAAAAAATACATGGCAAAAAGCTGACAGCTTATTTGTGCAGACACCTAATTTTTTTAGCAGTTCAATTGAGAGTATCCATGTTAATGTGAACAAATGCTACTGAATGCGTATTTAATGTACAAATGCCAACACCATACTGACAGGAAGAGTTAGCTTAGAGAGACACATTACATCAAATTTAAGAGTCTGCTCTGGTCAAGACTGTAGTGAGAGTTCTCCTATTTTAATATAGCATGGTGCTATTTATGTGTAGCTTCTTTCTAAATGAAATAGCTTAGGGGAAAAAAAAATGAAGTCTGATTTCAGAAATTGGTGAAGATTTTCAGTGATTATAGTTCAGATGCTGGCTTTCTCATGTTCTTAGAACTCAGATGCTTGTTATTTTATTTCTTACTTAGTGTTTTTAGAGAGAGAGAAGAAGGAGAGGGAAATTGGAAGTAAAGTTAGAGAGAGATTCCATGTCCTTAGACAAAGAGGAAATTTAACAATACAAGTAGGTCTTGACTAGCCGGTTCTACAACTAACCAGCTGAGACTGTGTCAAGTACAGTTCAGCCCAAATATTCAAAATCTGCTGTTTCACACATATGTACAGGCTCTTTATATTGAGTAGTCTACTAATCAATAGTCTACTAGATACTCATGCAAAAAAGTCAACTAATTGTATTGCTGTGAGGCGTTAACCAGAAAATCAGTAACTTACCCTAGGCAGGGAAATTTACAATGTCCCACACTCATGGTCCTTCTATTAATTGTAGAACGTGTTTAGTGAGGTTTCTATTTCTAACTCATGTAGGTGATGTTGCAATACCATGTGGGGAAAGCACATTACACTTGCAGATGTTGCTGAAAACAAATCTAGGGAATGGGGGATTCTTTCGTAGTTCTTGGGTGTTGTACAGATTGGCTATGGCAGAGAGGTTGCTCTGATATACTCTCGTTTCAGCTGGGTCTCCTTTTGAGAAAGCTTTAAATTTTTATCTCTTCTGATGAAAACAATACTTGGAATTCTTTTTTGGGCTCCATATTCAGACATACTTAACTTCATTTGTGTTGGGAATTGACCGCTTGCCCGTGTTGCCCCTCTCGTTAGCCACTCCCCCACCTGGAAGTACAGTGAAATAGTTTTTAAAACTTTTTAAACAATAATTATTTTTCCAAATAAAATTGAACATGATTTTGCTCAATATATATATTAAAAAAGAAGGGGATTCTCTCTTTCTTCCAATGTCTTTAGTGAAATTCCACAGAGCATAATTTGAAAACCTCTAGAATAATACAAAAAACACTCCTCCAGGAGTTAGTCACAGTCACTGAATTCGATTCAGTAATTCAGTTCAATTTAACAAATTTTTCTTGAGCATTTTCAGTGTGCCAAGTACTAAAAACGCTAAGGAAAAAAGGGCCTCAAGAAACTTACCTTCAAGTTTGGGAAAAGCAAGCATAGAAAAAAGTGTAATAAAGTGTTGTGGATGCTTTGGCAGATTTCTGGACAAGGTCAGTGATGTATGTCAGTGACTCTGGGCCTTGTTTTCTGTGAATTTAAAATAACTTGGAACAGACTACATACAGAGTCTTACCTCTCTTACATGTTTGACCCTATGATTCTGTTACTCTGTGCCACTGACTTTAGATCACAGAGGAAAGCCACTGGAAATTGACATGAGAAATGGAAGTACAAGGGATGGATGCAGCATGTGCATCTTTGAAATTTTTGTAACGTTGAGAAAAGTATGTCATTATAGTTAGAAAGGTAGGAGTGAAAAAATAAATACAATGCATAGTTGCTAAGGAGCAGAATTATGGGGTATCATCTTCAGATTTTCCAAAATACTCTCTACCTCCACTGATGCACATGAAGCCCTGCTTTCCCCTGACAACAAAGTTCCTTTTTCCACTGAAGGCCTCTTATCTCCAGCTTCATCTCCAACCCAGCTTCACAAGATCAAGATCATGCTACTGTAACAAAAATCTCTGCTTATTTATTCCAATAAAAAGAATCACTCTTGGACTTCCCTGGTGGCACAGTGGTTAATAATCCACCTGACAATGCAGGGGACACGGTTTCGAGCCCTGGTCTGGGAAGATCCCACATGCCATGGAGAAGCTAAGCCCATGTGCCACAACTACTGAGCCTGAGCTCTAGAGCCCACGAGCCACAACTACTGAGCCCGTGTGCCACAACTACTGAAGCCCACGCTCTAGGGCCTGTGCTCCACAACAAGAGAAGCCGCCGCAATGAGAAGCACACGCCCGGCAACGAAGAATAGCCCCTGCTCGCCACAACTAGAGAAAGCCCGCGTGCAGCAACGAAGACCCCATGCAGCAAAAATAAATAAATAAATAAATTTATATTAAAAAAATCACTGTCCATCAGGAGTGCATATGCTGATAGCAGTTGCACAGATAGGGAGAAGAGGGTAAGGGGAAAAACATTCCAGCTGTATAAATTTAATACAAATGTAGTTAATTTTAATTATTTAATAATAGGATGTGAACGCATCGATACAAGAAGAAAGGCAATGATGAGAGTGGGATATGGTCAGGTAAAGAATTGTAATAATAATATTATTATTATTTATAGCCACAGTCTTCCTGGAGTTTTGGAAAAGGAGAAGAAGTACACTGACCTATACTTGGGACCTTATTGAATGGGAAGAAGAGGAGGTAAGATGTTAAGGAACCAGGAGATAAGGAAACTGGAATAACATACGGTACAGAAAATCATTCACTGTCCTCAGTGTCCAAGCAGGAAGCAGCTAAACACCATTCAATTTTTACTTGACTTTTTTTACTAACAGGATTCTTATTTTATGAAGACAGTAAAGATCAATGATGAAAATGTGTAATTTTTTCAAAGCACTTCTATGACGTTTCCTTAAATTGCATGAGTGGAAAACTGTGCTAATTAAAATATAGTTTAGGGTTAAATAAACCCTAAAATAACTTTCATCGAATTTTTTACAATTTGCTTCTTTGCCAAGACTTGATATAAAAATAGGCCAAATTCCAGAAATTTATTAAATATTGGATTTTTTAAAAATTTGTGACAGATATTTAGTTAACTTTAGCTTTTCTCATAGGAAACACTTCGTCCCCAGTTTGAAGCAAAGTATTATAAGATGGAGAGAGTCAATCCCATCAGTGGAAAACCTGAGCCGCATCAGCCTTCCTCAGACAAAGTCACTCGGCTTCTTGTTTCTATCTCAGGAATATTCTTCATGGTAAAGTATAACCATAAATCTCAGAATGTGGGATTCCAGGTTTAGAAAGACGTTCTAGGATACCAACTCATTTTGTGACCCTGAGGATGTAAGAAACTATCCTGTTCAGTACCTTGGTAGTACGTACATACTATTAAACAAAATAAAAATCACAGCAGGTCACAGAATAATTACAAAGGGAGTTTGTGCATATCCCTAAATAAAACACTCTTTGGGAGAAACAAAGATCATCTAAGATAAAATGGAAATTATATGATCATCCTAAAATTAGATATTTTGTTTTAAAACCAAGCATTCATGTGCAAGTGGAGATTTGAACAGCGTATCCCACTGAAACAACGGAATCTTATACCATTTGTTTTGACTCTAATGAAAGTTAGCTCCTTAAAGGAAATTTTAAATTTACATATGCTTTCTTGGAAAAGTACATTTCTTTAGCTTTTGGGGTCAGCGTATTGGATCTATGGTGTTGCTTTTGTTTTGTTAATGACGCACAATGTGGATGTCTCCTCTGGTCTCCCATATTGTAGATTTCTCTGGTGATCACTGCAGTGTTTGCAGTCGTGGTGTATCGCCTGATTGTCATGGAACAGTTTGCATCATTCAAGTGGAATTTCATCAAACAACACTGGCAGTTTGCAACTTCTGCTGCTGCAGTCTGTATCAATTTTGTGATTATTATGGCACTGAATCTTGTAAGTGTTGACAAATTTTTCAATAGGTGTACAAGGGGTGGGTAAAGGAGAGGACTGTGTTTCCTTTATACTTGGATTGGATTTACAGGCAGCCAAAATAAGACCTAGTATCATTTCTGACAAAGACAATTTGGCTTAACAGAAAATATTTCATTTATGTGGTTTACATGATGGATTTTTAAAAAATTAAAATCAATGATAGTTGTATTGTCTTCCTTGCTCTTTGGGTTTATAGTTTTGTTTAGCGACAACTTCCACTCATTGAGTGTCTAGTGTGTGCTAGAAATGGTGCTATGCTCTTTTCATTCAGATAAGGGATTGTTTGGATTAGAAAGCCATTCCAACAAACTCAACCTCAGAGGAGAATTTATTGGAAAGGTATAGGAAATTCTGTTTGAAAGTATAGCCTTGTTATCTCCAAGACCTCATGTGAAATGGAAAACAGTCAGACAGCTACTCCATTTTTATTCCGCTGGGACTAAGTTTTTTTTTCCTTCCTTCCCTCCCTCCCTCTTCCTGTTTTTCTCTCCCTCTCTCTATCTTCTTTCCCTCTCTCTTTCACCTTTCCTTTCTTTCTATCTCTTTTTCCAATGATTCTATTTGCATATCTGCTCCATTCTATCAGGAAGAGACTATCTGCCTACCCATGGCCTCCCTTTCAGAGTCTGGTATACTGTTGCATTGCTGTGCTTTTGTTATTTTCATTTGCTCTAAATTTCATGACCATGTTGGTCAATTTCTGTAGTTTATTTAACTTAGATCATCCGGTGTTTCAATGTGCTAGTTTCTCAGAGAGAGCATCTGATTGGTTCAACTTCACATATACCAAGTGACTTATGAACCAAATGTCTGTGGCTGAGAGGACAATATTATGCTTAGGTCTACCTCTACAGCAAGATCTGTGGATGGGGCCCCATTTTCTGAAGACGGGAGGTACTTATTGGCACATTTAGAATAATATCTTTCCTTTAATTCTTCCAACAACACCACAAGGTCAATATTTTCTCCATTATGTAAATGAGGAAGCTGAAATTCAGAGAGCTTAAATAACTTGTCCCAGATTATGCATATAGTAAGTGTTAGTGCTTATATATTTACATGATGAGATAATTCATATAGAGGGCTGACCAATACACAAACAATGATATTGATAACATAAACAGGTAATATGCATTTGGTTCCAAACGTGGATTGATACTGACGGTACATGGTTAGTCGGGAGGGAACTGGAACCATTTACTGTTTAACTTTAAAATTATCAGAGAAGTTCTTAAGAGAAAATAAATAGTCACTGAGAAATGGGTAAATATTAATGCAAGGACAATAGTTAATATTTTCTACTGGAGTCTCCTTTCTTCAGGTTTAGGTAAATTCGCAGAAGAAGAATGTTGCTTACTGTATCTCCAAATAAGCCATACAGTATTTTAACTTATGCTTTTGACTCATAAAGTGAACAATAAACATTGAAAAAAGACAGTGCTAGGATTGAGAGGCTTGTGTGGTAGCCTATATAAGGAGGTATATGTTGTGCATTGCACAAAGTCACCACATTGAAGGAGGAACCATTCACAGCAAGGACATTGTAGAGTTTTATATTTATGGTTT